CGTTGACGACATGTTTGGAAACTTTGTGTATCTTCTGATAGCAAAACGCAATAACAACGATGGGCAGAAAATAACAAGCAACGAACATGATTCCGAGGTATGCCTTGTCTTCTGGAGCCGAAGATTCCCATTTGATTGAACAGGTTGCGTTGGTTCCTTCCATGCCGTAACTAGACCATCCGAGAAGGGGGGCTACGCTGAAGCCAAAAGAGTACACCCAAGATGCGCATATTACCAGTATCACTTGCTTAGTATCCCAATAAGATTCCTTCAATAACGACTTGGTAATGGTGAGGTACTTCTCCACAGAGATGGCTGTTAAGTGAGTGATAGAGACCAGAGCAAGAAGAAATATCATGAAGGCATGAGCTCGACAACCGGCCATTCCAAACGGCCATTCCTTCAAGAAGTGGCCGGCGATTGAAAATGGAACTGCTATTAAGCATGAGAGGATATCACTAACAGCGATACTGAATATGAGATAGCTTGGTGATGCTAGGCGATGGGTATTTCTAAGTACTGTAAAAATTACTAAACCGTTGGAAAGAGTTCCAAAAAAGGTAACAAAGAACTCAGTAACCACGAAGAACATGTTCCATGTGTAGATTCTGCTCATGTCTAATCTGAATTGGGTTTTGGCGTCAAAATATCGCTCTATACCTTTGAAACATCTGAAAGAGAAGTATCTTTTAAAATTGAGGCCTTCGTGATTGTGTGGTTTCCTCTCCCCTCCGTATTTTCATCATTTTTTTCTTTTTTTTTTGTAATTGGCAGCGTCTCGCGATCGATTTGTCATTTGACGACGTGACGACTTTGCCGCCCTTCGAAAAAATATTACCCGGAAGTTATGGCTTAAGTGACCCATCAACATCCATATAAAAGCTTTAAAATGATTCATTTACCGGTCTGGGAACCTTTCCTTTTCCTTCCGAGCTACTTGCAATCATTCGTGGGCAATTTAAGTTACATCGTATAAGTTTGCCTTAAGGGATAGAAACGCTTTGTCCATGATTTTTTTTCTTCACTGTAACTGATAGTGAAAAAGAAGAGTCTGAAGAAATTATTTTTCAGCTTGAAAATCTCTTCAACGCAAGATTGAAGGAAAAACACAAGTTTTAAAACATGTCAAAGGAGCAATGTTAACGTCATTTGCCATTTTCAAAACGCTAAAAATTTTCTTTTCGTCAATTGAATTCAAAATAATAAATTTGACGCCATTTGCGATGTACTTAAAAACTCAAACTTGTCTTCGCATCAATTGAATTCCAAAAGTAATGGTCTAGTTTTGTTATTGAATAATAAATTTACGGACTGTTTTCTGTCGTTTGTTGCTGCGGATGGCAAGGATGGACATGGGCTTAATCTTGAACATGGTTGGGCCACCTTTTTCACGTTTTAATGCTCTGCCTGCTAGAATCGCCAGAAAAATATTATGTTCAGTGTTCCCTGATAAAATATGTTTCAAATATCCTTCAAATCTTTAACGGAGCCTTTAGTGTATAAGTAAAAAGCACTAACTGATGACTTGAGCACAGAATTGAACTAAAACAGCAATATCCTTGTGACATAGCCTCTGTAAAGGAATAAGTGGATAAAAAATAATGTAGAATGGTCCATTTGGTGTAGCTAGAATTGTATATTCCCTGATTTGAAAAGAGGACCGATTCAGATCAGTTTCTTTGAACTGTATTCCAATCGCAAATTATGGTTTGGCTGTGGAGGATTCGATTTTTTAAATCAATTTATTAATTTGTTTATTTTATTCATTTATCTATCTATCTATCTATCTATCTATCTATCTATCTATCTATCTATCTATCTATCTATCTATCTATCTATCTATCTATCTATCTATCTATCCATTCATTTTTTCATTTATTTATTCATTTAAAATTTATTTATTAGCGATTTTATGATTGGAGGTATCTCGATCTGCAATCATGTGATGTTTTGGTTTGCTTCGTGTTAGCTCAGAGATCTGCTACTATCCTACTACTTGTTTAAAGTCATATGCAGTTTTGCTTATTGAGTAGCTGTTAGTGTTCGATTTCTTTGAGGAATTTTGGAAGTTTTGGAAGAGGAAGTCTTATGTAGTTTTTGCTTTATATGAGACCTGAAATTTCAACATTATCATTTCTTTTCATCCGATTACTGGTGTTCCTTAAGTGAACATTACTATTTAAAATAGATCAAGTCGCACAAAACAGGAAGAAGAAAAAATTGTATTCGTCACAAAAACAGAAACGACAGGAAAAGGACGTTCGTTTTATTTATTTAGTTTTATCGATATGTTTTGCTTTATTAAGATTGTTCTTGTTATCATGACTAAATGAAGAACTTTTTTAACATTGTTCAACCCTATTTCCAACATGAACGTCTTATTTTAATCAGATATGCTGGATTTACATATATTTCCTGAACGATTACCGACCAAGCGTTAGCCGGCGGCCATAAGAGTTATCCATTGCCTAGTGACTGTGCAAGTTTAATACCCTATGTA